TTGAGTATTGAACCTAGGTCAGCCATCACAAGTACCCTATTTACTGTGCTATTGCTCTGGCCAGAAAACAATAATTTGTTTTATGAAAATGATGAATTTTTAAAAAGATACGAATAGAAAATTTATAGAAAAATTATTCAAAAGACAAAAATTTTTTGGTTTTGTGCCACACCTGGCTGTGGCTCAGAATTTCTTTTAGAGGGGCTTGGGGGACCCCATATAGGGGTCTGGAGATTGAACCTGGATTGACTGTATGCAAGGCAAGTGCCCTACCCACTGTGCTATCGCTTCAGCCCAGGCAGGCAACATTTTGAATGTCAAACATTACACAAATGGACAAAAGAAAGTGTAAACTATAAGGAAGTGTTGTGATTGATTGAAATACAACTTCAGTCTGGTGGGAGTGAAACCCACCTGCTGTTTGTGCGGAAGTTAATGAAGACACCAAGGAAGATAAACTGGCAATATCTTCCTAATTCAAACACAGAATCAGTGATCCAAATGTCTTTTCTTGGAACGTGCGTATTAACCGCTTCCACTGTCTTTTTAGGGCACCCAGGAAAAGTGAATTTTCCTGACTTTTGGGATATGGAGAAGAGAGATGTGCTTTACTTTTTTCATCTTGTACTGCTCGAAGTTTAAAAAAAAACCCAGATGTTTATATTTTTATATTTTATCAGATGTTTATATTTTGTTTTTATTTTTCAAAGTTAAAATTGTTTTCTGGAACAAAACCCCATGCCTAACCAAAAAAAAAAAAATTAAGTTCCACAGTTGATGCTCAGACATTTTCTTTACCAAATTCACCACCGTTGAATGGTATGAATTGTCTTGCCTCAAATGCCAACCAACTAAATTCATTTTTAGGATATCTCTGCATTGGAAGTCCTTTGCCACGAGGCTGAGTAATTTCTTAACAAACTTGGGGTTGACATGTTCTCTGTTCCAGACCATGCCTAATCAATCTGGCTATCTATCCAAGATCCTTCTTCTTCATACACTCTGTACTTGTAGAAAGCTCTGGAAAGGTTCACAGAAGAGGTAGGACTTGAATCATGAGTAAAAATCAAGAAGGATTGGAGACTAAGAACTTGGAAAGGAGGAAACACATAATCAAAGGAATAATCCCAGTGACAACAGCAGTTGTTCATTGCTGGATTATGATGTGCCTATATATCCATGGATAGCACGTCTGGGTTCCGGGAAAGACTCACAATTCCTGGGAGAAATCAATATTATGGGCCTCAGTCTAAAGGTGAGGTGAGATGCTCAATGAAGTCACAGGTAGTAAAACAGCTGAGCTAGAATTCAAAAGACAGCTTCTTGTCCCTCCCTCCCTCCCTCCCTCCCTCCCTTCCTCCCTCCCTCCCTCCCCCCCCCTCCCTCCCTCCCTCCCTCCCCCCCTCCCTCCCTCCCTTCCTTCCTGCCTTCCTTCCTTCCTGCCTGCCTGCCTTCCTGCCTTCCTTCTTTCTTACCCCCCTTCCTGCCTGCCTCCCTGCTCTTCCTTCATTCCTCCCTGCCCTTCCTTCCTTCCTTCCTTCCTTCCTTCCTTCCTTCCTTCCTGCCTGCCTGCCTGCCTTCATTCCTTCCTTCCTTCCTGCCTGCCTTCCATTCTGCCTGCCTGCCTTCCTTCCTTCCTTCCTTCCTTCCTTCCTTCCTTCCTTCCTTCCTTCCTTCCTTCCTGCCTTCCTGCCTTCCTGCCTTCCTGCCTTCCTGCCTTCCTGCCTTCCTGCCTTCCTGCCTTCCTGCCTTCCTGCCTTCCTCCCTGCCTCCCTGCCTCCCTGCCTCCCTGCCTCCCTGCCCTCTGCCTTTCTTCCCATATGAGATGTAGGGTATCGAACCTGGGTCAGCTGCATGCCAGGCAAACACCTTCCCTGCTGTTTTAGTTCCTTTTCCCCATCTTTCAAAGTTTTGTTCATAGGTCCTGCTCTCTGAGGGTCACCCCATTCCACACACATATCCTTAATCCATGTGGGCCCTAGGGAAAAGGCCCATTCACCGAGCCAAGGGGTTACCTTAGGATTTAGCTCTGGGTGTTGTACTGCAGAGAGTTGGGTCTCTTGAAAGCAATCCCTTAGCATTGGTTATTGAGGTTAAGTGTGTGTGTGGAGAGAGTGTGTGGGAGGAGGGATGCAAAGGAATGTCAGTTTTGGCAAATGCTGGAAGGAAAGCCAGGGATGGCATTCCTTCCTGGGGACGGTATATCAACAGTACCTTTATTGTGGTTTCCCTTCAGCCCATCAGAGAGTCCCTCACAGCCCACATTCTCGATTGAGCTCCACCCTCCTGTGACCCAGCTGCAGTCGCCCTTGAGCTGCTTCCAACCCAGACAGCCTTGGCCACCTCAGAGCCTGTCGTGGCCGCGACAGTGGGTTGCCTGTGTCTTTCAGAGAGCTGATACAGGCAGTTCATCTTCCCTCTTCCTCTCAATTGCTTATGACAGCCACCACATAGCTTTCCCTACTGTTGGCCGAGATCCCACTAGCAAGGGTGACTCAGAACTGGAGTACTTGGAAAATCTGCCCTCAGAATAAGGCGGACACTATCCTCTCCCGGATGGGGTTGAGGCTGCCACCTAAGGACAGTAGCCAGTGCACGTGCATACATTCTGAGGAGAAGGTGGTGATGCACCAGATGCCAAGGAGGGAGTGGAAAATTCATGCCCCAAGTAGGAATGTTGAAGTCACGGGACCAGATTAGAGTGGCTTTTCTCAAACAACGTTCTCTCCTCTCCCCTGATATATTTGATTTTGTGTTCATTTCCATCTGAGATACAACTCTAAGCTGGACCAGGAAGACTTAGATGAGGGCATTGGGCCTGGATGAAAAGTTTCTAGAACTTATTAAGCATGTCCTAAGTTCTTCGCTCTGTGTTGGGTGCTTAGGACATAATTGCCTAATTTTTCCCCTCACAGCAACCTCAAGAGTTACTACATTCCTGTTCTGGAAATGAGGCAGTTGAAAGCTCAGGAACTTGCCAATTAAAAATGTTGGTCGGAGTTCCAACAGCTGGAACATGGGCTCCAGGTAGCCACCACCAAATTGCTGATTGTGTGAAGCAAAGTCCCCCAGGATGGAGGCTGGGTGGCCATTTGGGTATCCACCCAAGTTGCCACTCTACTGAAGGATGGTGGATTTTTGCCCTCAGGGATCCCAGCAGATGTGGCTGGTCTCAGGGTGGCAGATGCAGAGTTGCTGGCACACAGCTATCCCTTGTTTCTTCATTTAGTGAGAAAGTTTTCCTGCCCGCCCTGTACTTGCCACTCTACCTCAATGGCAGTCTCCCCCTCCGAAAGGCGGGAGTGTCTACCTCCCCAGGAAGGACACTGTGTCCTGAGGGAAGGTGCTTGACAGAGCAGCAGAAGCCTGGCAGAGTCACCCCTGGTCCGAGAGGCTGTGAAGGGGGTAGCCCCCTCCTCTCTGGCCCTGGTCTATGGCTACGAGACCAGCCCAGTCTCTGGCCTCTGCCACCCTCGAGCACTTTCTTTGTGTGCCATAAATGGCTCACGTCCCTGCTGCCAGCTGTGTTCTTGCCCGGAATCTGGACCTTTCTCTCTGCTGTTTGTTTCCTGGAGGGAAGGGACCATCTTCCTGGTATGCCCTCTGGGTGACACCTGAAGATCTTGACCCTTTTGTGTGTGTGGAGTCTCACTTCCCACCTCCTCCCAGCTCTGCAACAGTCACCCAACTCTCGCTCCCACACTTTCTGTGTGTGTGTGTGTGTGTGTGTGTGTGTGTGTGTCTGTGTGTGTGTGTGCCTTTTCCCATATTCACACAAGCTAGGAGCTTTTGGGAAACGGGAAATGCAACCTGTGTGACTTTTTTTTTCTTAAGCCTTGAAATTTAGAAATCTTATTGTTTGTTGGTTTGCTGGTGGTATGCAGAGAGAACTCCTGGCTCTGTTTAAAGGTTACTCCAGGTGGTGCTCTGGGCGCACCATATGTTGTGTGGGGATTGAACCTGGGTCAGCTGCCTGCAAGGCAAGTGCCTAATACACTCTACTATATCTCTGACCCTAAATGTAGAATCCACTCCACTTTGTCATCCCAGCCTCTCGTGTCCTACAGTAGAACATTGTGACTGAAATCCATTTCATTTCATTTCATTTCATCATCCTGTTATTCGTCGATTGCCTCGAGCAGGCCCCAGTAACGTCTCTTTCATCCTAGCCCTGAGATTATATTCAAGGCTCTTTAGGAGAATGAGACCCATCATTGTTACTGGTATTTGGCATATTTGGTACACCACGGGGAGTTTGCCAGACTCTGCCCTGTGGGCAGGCTACATTTGATAGCCTGCCAGTTTGTCCAAAGTAGGAATGAGATAATAAGATGTCATAAAAAGATATCCTGATAAGATGTGGCGCAGCCACAAATGCGGCCGCACGGTTCCGGAAGCTGGATTTTATAGTCTCTGAGTCTTGGCCGTTGATGGGATTACATGGCGCCAGGGGGCCAGGTGGTGGGTGTGACTCCCGCCTACTGGAATTTGGAGGATCTGGGTGGAGGATGCTCGACTCCAATCCGAGTAAGCTGGGAGATCTCGGCCCCGGAACCCTCGTGGATTTGTCCCTCTGCCATTACAAAGTGAATTTTATACTGGGATCATGATTCAGCAGGAGGCCCAGGGCCTATGGGCATATAGGAGGATGTGAGCTTTCCTGAGGGTTGTACAGAGTGTGGACTTCCGGTGCAGTGCCCATCTCACGCTCCATGGGGACTTGGCTGAAAACCCCTACTTAGGAAGCACCCAGTGAGGGGACAGATGCCTCATCATTAGCAGAGGGAGAGCCTTGCTGATGTGAATTCTGATGGTGCTATTGGTGTACACCTGTAGCCTATGAAAGAGAGTAAGGTAATACTTTAAATGACTCGAAAAAGGTTAGACCTGCTGGCGACTCCATTATCTAGAAGATACCCATGGTTTAGGGTGGGACTCGGGGTTGCAGGTCTGATGCTTGTGTTTCCTGGAGCTAACAGTGGCCCTTCCGGTCTCCACAGAACATGGCGAATTCCTGGCTCTGGACCTTGGAGGAACCAACTTCCGTGTGCTTCGGGTGAGGGTCATGGACAACGGGCTCCAGAAGGTCGAGATGGAGAACCAGATCTACGCCATCCCCGAGGACATCATGCGCGGCAGTGGCACCCAGGTTTGACCCTTCTCTGGGACCTGGAGGGAGAAGACCTTGGCTGAGGCTCGGCCTTCTGGCCTCTGGCCTTTCTTGCTAACTCAATGATCCTTCTTTATTTTTGTTTACTTATTTATTATTTTCTAATTAGTTGAGGCTCAGTGATTTATAATACTATTTATGATTTCATGTCCTCCCTTCCCAGAGGAACCCCAACACCCCTTTCTTTCAACCTCCCACAGGGACCTCCAAATCCCTTTCTTTCAGCCTCCCTTCCCTATCACTCAGTTGTGTGGATCTGCTTTGGCCTCTTGTTGCCACCTTGCTGTGTCTTTAAGTCTCACACGGGAGAGATTCAGAGTGTGTGTCCAGTGAGATAAAAGCTATTCATAGGGGCCAGCAGGATAGAACAGGGGTTAAGCCTTTTGAGGTGAACCCTGGTGTGAATCTTGGCACTGCATGTGGTCCACCGAGCATAACTATGACTGATTCCTGAGCACAAAGCCAGGAATAAATCTTGAACACCACTGAGTATGGCCCCCAGACCAAACCAAACCAAACCAAGTCCTAAATATGCTGGACAGACAGATGATACAGAGGTTAAGACACTTGATTATGCGGTGACTCCAGTTTGATCCTTTTTAAAAAATCATTATCATTATTTTTTGTTGTTGTTGAATCACCCTGTCACCGTGAGATATAGTTACAGAACTTTTATGATTTTTAGTCATACAATATTCCAATACCCATCCCTCCATCAGTGTACATTTCACACCACCAATATCCCTCATATCCTCCTGCCGCCTGCCTCTGTAGTGCCTCTGTAGCAGGCTCTCTCTCTCTCTCTCTCTCTCTCTCTCTCTCTCTCTCTCTCTCTCTCTCCTTTTGGGCATTATTGTTTGCAATACAGACACTGAAAGGCCACCATCATGTTTGGTCATTTGCACATTTTCAGCACACAAGTTTGATCCCTTTTTGATCCCTAGCACTGCATATGGTCTCCCAAGTACTGTCAGGAGTTATCCCTGAGCACTGAGTCAGGAGTAAGCCCTGAGTCCTGCTGGGTGTGACCCCAAAAATGAAAACCAAGAACAAGGAGATAAAAATCTCTTTGTGGATTTCTTGACATTAACATCAAGTTTGTGACCCTCTGATTTTCGTTTTGTTTTTGAGACACACTAGGCAGTGCTCAGGGACCACTCCCAACAAAGCTCAGGGGCCTATATGGGGTGCCCGGGATTGAACTTGGGTCGGCCAGGTACAAGCTCCCTACCAACTATGCTCTCTCTAGCAGCGGTGTCCTTCTGTTCTAAACATGTGGAATTGAGCTTTGGGAAGTTTGGTGACTTGTCCTTCACTCCTGGAGGTGGAGGGCGGGCAGTAGCAGGAAGTGCAGAGGTGTACTGATAAGACTGCGTTTGTCCACTCTGGGGGACACCATTCACTGGTGGGCCAGGCCCTGTGTCCCAGGTGAGAAGTGCTCCCTGAAGTTAGTGAGTGATAGATTGGGCTCCCGGCCGCCTACTCCTGCTTCCAGAGAAGGAAGTATTATGAGACCGGGGTTCCTGTCAATATGAGATGCTGTTGGGAATAGTCCTTTGGAGGACTAACCCTTTCCAAGGTCCCCCAAAGAGGTCATTTCCACCAAAGGCTTACTTCAGCTTTTGCTGTATCATAAGTCTCTACCTGGTTGGTGGTGATGGCTATGAGCCTGTTGTTACTCCCAGCTCTTGGGTAACCACAGAAATTGGTAGCCCTCTCCAGAAAGTGTTCTTTAATTATGTTGCATTGAGTTTATTGAATTTTATTTTACAGTAAAGGTGATTGGGGCAGGGGGGAAGGGGCCTCGCACATGCAGCCAGGCTACATTCCCTGCTCCTTGAGAGACCTCCTTGGCCACATTCTTTATCCTCCTTTCCCAGCAGTTCCCAGTCTCTGGGTAGGGGTCACTACCCACAGCCTAGTCTCCTCATCTCACTCCCAGGCCTCTTCTCCCTCCTCTCTACCCCCATCTCCTGGGAACAGAATTTCTGATCAGGAGTAGAACACGTGGGGGAGAGATTTGTCAACTTTCTGTGTCCTTTGGTCTGGCCCTGAGGGTGAAATGTCTTTCCTTATTTCAGTGCTTAGGTAGGATCAAGAGGCAGAGTGCCAACCACTGTGGGCATTTTTGTTCGCAGAGTTCGTCATATTGCTTCAGAATTGAGAAACAGGATTATTACGCCCAAATAAAACTCTGATCTTCCACCTGAAAAAAACGATAACTACTCTGATATTAAGAAAAGGGCTAAATGGAAAAAAACTGCAGTATAAAAATGAAACATAAAGGAAAGAAATAGAAAATAGAGGTGCTTTTTTCACCTAAAGAAAGGGAAATGGGGGCTGGAGTGATAGCACAGCAGGTAGGGCGTTTGCCTTGCACATGGCTGAGCCGGATTCAATTCCCAGCATCCCATTTGGTCCACCAAGCACTGCCAGGAGTAATTCCTGAGTGCATGAGCCAGGAGTAACCCCTGTGCATCGCTAGGTGTGACCCAATAAAGAAAGAAAGAAAGGGAAATGAGACTTTAGGTTAAAAGCTTTTGTGGTGGAGTTCTAGGTACTCTTTTCCCTATATTCAGTTGGCGGATATCCTAGGTAGCAATATTTTCACTGGAGGCAAACAATAGATTTTATTTCATTTTAATTTGTTTTGTTTTTTGGGCCACACCTGGCAGTGCTCAGGGCTTACTCTCAGCTCTGTACTCAGGGGTCACTCCTGGTGGGACTTGGGGAACCATATGCAGTGTCAGGCATCAGCCTGGGCTGGCCACACGTGAAGCAAGCGCCTTAACGTTTGTACCATCAATTGAATTTTCCAAACAAATTTTAGCTAAAACCAAGACTGAATCACCAAGTTCCCAAATTGGGAAGATCTCCGTAGCTCAATGAAGCTGGGTGGTGTGGGCGCTATTTCCTAGTCCCGGAACTCTGTATTAAGATTTTTTAAAAGCCTGTCTTATGGGAAGAGGTGCAGCAGATTCTCAGACCAATAAGGAAACATTTCTAATTTCATCAGATGGTGCCCTTTGAGCCTCTTTTATGGCCGGAAGTGTCCATTTTTTTTTCTCCCAGCGGCCTATCTTTAGACCATCAGCTCACGGAAGTGGAGAAGGCCTTCTAATCCCAGAAGCAGATGCTCTCCTCTCCCTCAGAGGGTTCTTCTTTTTCTTTCTCTCTCTTTTTTATAAGTTCTATTTCTTTTTGTGGTTCTGGGGACTGACCCAAGCCCTCACACATGCCTGACAAGTACATAAACTGTTGAACTCCATTCCTTCCACTTCCTCCATTTAATTACATTAATTAATTAATTTAGGTTTGGGGCTACACCAGTAGAGTTCATAGTTTACTCCTGGCTCTGCACTCAGGGATCACTCCTGGCAGTCTCAGAGAACTGCATGAGGTGCTGGGGATCACACCCAGGTCAGCCCTGTGCAAGACAAACACCCTACCCACTTGTCCTGTCTCTCTGGCCCTGCCTCTTCCTCCAGTTTAGAAACATGTAGTTTCTCTAAACCAGCAAGGCCCAATGGAATCTTCTGCCAGGGTGAAAAAGTTCTGTCTCTCCAGAGGTGCAGACAGTCAGTTTGATCTAGCACAGTGGGTACAAGTGCTAGATGTGGCTGGTCAACCTCGGGAAGTGAATTGTTAAATTTTAAAACTTCTAATTAACCAAAAAGAGCCACAGATAGTCAGTGACTGTTGTTCTGGGTCTTTTAATGCCTCTGTTTCTCTTTGCCCTTCCCACTATTGGGTAAGGGGAAATGATTTTTTCTTTTCCTTTTTCTGAGTTCTCCTTCCCCTCCCCTCCCACATCTGATTGATTGACACTCCCTCCGCTTTTCTTTTGAGGGGGAGTCATTTAGAAAGCCTCTGCTGTGCTCAGGCTTTACTCCCAGCTCTGTGCTCAGGGATCACTTCTGAAGGTGTTCAGAGGCCATTTGTGGTGTCAGGGATCAAACCCTGGTCTGGCGCATGGAAGACAAATACCTCACCCACTGTATTATCTTTCTGGCCCTGACTGACTTTATCTTTTGAGACCGCTTTTGCAACTTCCTTTTTGGAAGATATTTGTGCAAAGATCATTTTGAGTAGAGTGGCAGGAAGAATATGCTAGAAATATGTTTCGTCATACTGTGAATTCTATCTCTTATGTACTTCCCAGCAGACCTAACTTATTGAATAATATACTTAGGAACCCTATTTACCTATTAACATATTTAACCCCTGCTTGAGGGAGTTGGTGTGTGTACCTTGGTGCATGGGTACACGGTGATTCTCTTAGTGAGAGGCCCTGAGCTTGCTCTTGAAAGTGTTTTGGTTGGACATTAAATTTGCACACGATCAGCTGTGATTAAATTTGAACATGAACAGGGGACCAGATTGATGCTGAACATTGATCTGTCATTGGTGAAATGCATCCACTTATGGATGCTGAACATTAATAAGTCAGAACATCCTTCTTGGGGGGTGTCTCTCCCCAGTGAGCACACCTACCCCAGATGCCTGGGGAGCCAGTGGACCTCCATTTATCCTGCCACAACCCCCCTCCCCCCAACACACACACACACACACACACACACACACACACACACACACACACACACTTTTCCAACCTTTCATTTCCTTTAATTGAAAATACTTTTTCTGGTTTAGTGCAGTGGTTTTCAGGTCAGGACAGGGCCTTGGGGACCTCCTGTAGGATCCCACTCCCTCGATGGCTGCTTTAGCGGATTGACAAGTAGTATTCAAGTTTACATTCTTTCATGTTCCTACAGAGGCAAAGGAAACACTCAAATCACAGATGTCCTCCTATCCAAGAAAGGACAGACTTTTAGGTTTTGCCATCTGGTCAATCAGGTCCTTGGAATTTTCTCAGGATCTTGGGTCTCTGCTAACTTGTTGCACTAGAAGGCCCCTGGCGTCAGCCTCTAAGCTTCTGCAGAAGTGACCCTCACTGGGCTGGAGTGATAGTATAGCAGGTAGGGTATTTGCCTTGCACGCGGCCAACCTGGGTTCGATTCCCAGCATCCCATTTGGTCCCACCACCAGGAGTAATTCCTGAGTGGAGAGCCAGGAATAATCCCTGTGAATGCTGGGTGTGACCCCAAAAGAAAACAAAAACAGAAACAACAACAACAAAAAAGAAGTGACCCTCACTTTGAGGAAGCTGAATGGACAAGAGGAGACCATACAACTGTGGGCTGTGGGACTGATTGAAAGTCCGATTATTGTGAATACAGCTTATTCTTGGGTTTCAGATCCTGCTCAGCATGGTCACGGATGTGAGACTGTCCATCCACAAAACCCTCTTTAGTCTTCAGCACTGTTCCTGGACTCCCTGGGTGTTCCCTTTTGAAGTTAGAAAACAAAGATGATTTCTTTGAATGAACCCCAGGAAATTATTTCTAGAATGGAGAAAAAGAAGCCTCTCTTTTTGTTACGTTGGTTCATAGAATGGCAACAGCCAATGTCCCGCCCCCTCCTCCCCCAATAATTAGAGGCAGAGATGCTAAAATACTTCTTGGCAGTAAGATGGGCTGCCCTTTCTGGTTAAATAGTCAGCTGTGCATCCATGTCAGGGGGATTCTGACAGTGCCACCGAAGGATGTTCTGTTCTCAGGCCATGCCTGACTCTGATTTACTTTGGCTTGAATTCCCCCTGCCTGGCAGGATCATTTTAACAGCAGTTTGGATAAATGGTTTAGGCAGAAGAGATCATTTAATAAGCATTAGTTAGTCTTTATATATATATGGAAACTTTTGATTCTTTCTAACTCTATGGACAGGTACAGGTTTTCCCCCTATCCCCGCCCCCTGCCCCCAACCTCCACTAGTAGCTGGGTAAGTGGAACTTTTAGAGCAAATATATTTCTCACACACATTCAAACCAGCCCAAACCAACTCTTGGGCTCTCTGTTGTCTCGCGTCCCTGCTCACCTTCCTGTGTTCTGTGCCCTTAGTTGTTCGACCACATTGCTGAATGCCTGGCCAACTTCATGGATAAGCTACAAATCAAAAACAAGAAGCTCCCTTTGGGTTTTACCTTCTCATTCCCCTGTCATCAAACAAAGCTAGATGAGGTAAGATGGGTTCTTCAGTGTTGCTCGGGGCCGTGGGAAGAACTCAGGGCCACCTGCAGCTGTGGTTTGGGGGGTGGTTCTGAGAAGTGTGATGAATCCTCTCAGCTCTGTGCCTGCGTGTGAGCAGCTGTGGAGGAGGGAGAGGCAGCAAGGATGGACCTTCTTCAGCACCCTCCAGGACAGCCTCATAGACGGGACAAGGAGTGAGAAATTAGCCTGGAACTTCCAGAGTTCTAAGGGGTTACGATAAAGACCCTTGGAAGAGATATTCCTTGGAGTTAATAATGATGCAGAACAAGTCTTTTGTCAGTTCCTTAAAGAAGTTTTATAAACAAATCTTTAAATAAAAATTTCGTAGCTAAGGTAATATGTTTACAATGGTGTGTGTGTGTGTGTGTGTGTGTGTGTGTGTGTGTGTTGGGGGCCACACCCAGCTTACTCCTAGCTCTGTACTCAGGTGTCACACCTGGTGGGGCTCAAGGGATACTGGGATTGAGCCCAGGTTGACATTTATGGTATTGATATGCATAGTTGCCTTCCTTTATCAAGCACTACCCCCCCGAACACACACACAAAATTATCCCTGTAAGACATCATACTCCCCACTTCCCTTTTTTTTAAAAAAAAAAAGTTCAACTTCTTGGACAGTGAGATTGAGCCATGGAGGAAGGAGCTGTTTACTCGTTGAACCCCTCCTTCTGCAACTAAGGGGGGTCAGATTTCTCCTTCCTGGGTTACTCATGAAGTGAGATCCACACTTAGACATGGCTTTTCCTTAGTTTAACTCTGCGGTAATGGTCCTCATTATGGTTGTTTCAGGGGTGTAGTCTGCAATGAATCCATTTTTATTCCTTTCCAGAGTTTCCTGGTCACGTGGACTAAAGGATTCAAGTCCAGTGGCGTGGAAGGCAGAGATGTGGTTGATCTGATCCGAAAGGCCATCAAGAGGAGAGGAGTGAGTAGCGGCAGTGGGGGTGGGGACACCTAAGCTTGGGGTCTGGGGACTCTATGTCCTTTAGGGGCCCATGGTGAAGTATTTCCCAGTCTGTCCTCAAATCAACATGAGAACCATAAGTTATGGAGAGGGTTCCTTTCTGCTTCCTCGCTGTTTACTTAATAATATATATTTTTCAGTTTTATGTGATAGGTAGACACGAACTCTAAATGAGTTTAAGGTACAGCACGTAACATCTTGACCTGCCTATGTTGCTAAGTAATTGATTACACAGCAAGAATCATATATGATCAATTATCTTTGGGGTTTTTAGGGTGGCTGATGGATAAATAATCTTTGGTGGTGCACAGTTGAAGTCTTTGGTCCTTGACCTGACATAGTCCTGGCTATCTTCTGGAAGACAGAGGTTATCGTTATAGGAGTCGTTATAGGAGGGAGGAAAGAGGAGGGAGAGAAGGAAGAAGAGATGGGAGTGCAGGATGCGATCCTCTTAGTGCAGTGATGGCCAGGAACTAGGTTGCAGCGCTGGTGTCAGAAAATTCCTTCACACTGAGGACAAATGGGGGTGGGGTGAGGGTGGAGAGCAAGTGTTTGCTCTTTGATGGGAGCTGAACCTCATTTCCAGTTCTGACCATGTTGGTCTCCAATTGGGGCCGAAGGGGCAGCGCTGTTTCCCTTGAGCTTTGTGTCCCGCTGCTCTTTCTGGCTTCACAAAGGTTCCCTTTGGGCTATGGTAAAGGGAGGGTCGCCTCTTATCCCCGCAGGACTTTGATATTGACATCGTGGCTGTGGTGAACGACACGGTTGGGACCATGATGACGTGTGGTTATGATGACCAGAACTGCGAGATCGGTCTCATCGTGGGTGAGTGAGTGCTGGGGGTGAGGGAGGTGCCGGTCAGTGCTCGGGGTCTGGACTGGAGCGGGTGAAGGGTGTCTGGGCTGGGTGCTCCCTTGGAAGATGACAGTGGGGCCACCATGGAAGGTCGAGCCAGAACTGGTGGCGCTGCAAGTGATATGGGTTGGACCATGTCAAGATGACCCTGATCCTGTTGTGAAGACTGGCAGCTGCGCGGGGCGGTGTCTGATCCTGGGGGGCTGACAGTGCTGGGGAGCCGGGGTGCGGCTCTCTCAACGGCCTTTTGCTTTGCTCAGGCACGGGCAGCAACGCCTGCTACATGGAAGAAATGCGCCACATTGACACGGTGGAGGGAGACGAGGGGCGCATGTGCATCAACATGGAGTGGGGGGCCTTCGGGGATGACGGCACCCTGGATGACATCCGCACCGAGTTTGACCGCGAGATCGACATGGGCTCCCTGAACCCTGGGAAGCAGCTGTGAGTCGGACCCCTGTGGTGGGCTGGGGTGGGGGGGAAGGGAGCACCCGGGAGCTGAGCCAGGGTGGACAAGGTGTGCCTGCGTGTGTGGTGGTGGTGGGGGGGGGGGTGTCAGTGTTGCTTTACAGTCTTGTCTCCCCAAAGAGGTTACCAGGCACCCACAGTCATGCCATACGCACCCGTGACTCTCGGTGCTGTGAAGGCTCTCCGGAGCCCGCAGACACGCAGGAGAGAGGCTGGCAGTCCTTTAGCTGTGCCCTTCAGGGAAGTCCTCTGGGAAGGTCACAGTCAGGTGTGACCCTGCTTTTTCTTTCCACCTTCCAATTTGCAAGTGGTCTGTGGAAACAGTTTGTGAGTCACTTAGGTCTCTTGGAGACGGCCAAGTTAAGCATCTCTGAAAGCTGGTTTCCTGGCTCGCACCCCCTCTCAGTGCAAAGGCCGAGGCCTGGCACTTGGTTCCTCATCACTGGCCGAGGCTCTCGCGTGGAGCTGCCGTGAGCAATTGGCCCTGAGCTCCCAACCCACTCCCAACCCACTTGCTTTTTTCAAGCCTGAAAAAACAAATTGAAGGCCCGTTCTCAAGGTCTATTGAAGTAATGACCAAGGCATCTTTCTGGCCATCTTTCCTGGCCCTGTGACCTGATCGGGGTGCATCATAGAAGGTGCCAATATTTTGGACACAGAAGGATCTATTTTCTATCCTGGCCAGACTTTTAAAATCATTGTGAACTCTTACAAAATATGATTTCACCCTCACAGACCTTTGCCAAATGCCTTGAAGATCTTGAAATAGGAATTGTTGCAAGCTCCGAAAGCCTTTGCATAATGCCTTGAGCAATCCAGGCCCTCATTGTCCCCTCCCCGGGGGGCGGGGGGGGCCCTCACCCGCCCCAACTCCCGCTGCCATCCCTGTTCCAGCAAAGCCTTTAGCACAGATCTGTGCTGGGAGAGAAGCCAGCACTGTCACCCCATAAAGAGCTCAGTCTGAGGGACCCTTTCTTTTACAGGCAGGAGATGCCTTGCTTCCTCATAAAAAACATGGCTGGTTTTTATTTATTATTGTTATTTCTTTGGTTGGAGGGATGCCATACCTGCTGGTGCTTGGGGCTTTCTCTTGGCTCTGAACTCAGGGATCACTCCTGGTCGGGCTCAGGGACCACATATGGTGCTGGGAATTGACTTGGGTTCGCTGTGTGCCAAGCAAACACCATACTCACTCACTAACTATTGCTCCGACCCAGAGCACGGTTAAGTCACAAGGTTCTCTCCCATGTCGAAAGGTGAGTCCGTTTCCTTGTAACTTTCATAGAAACGCAAGCCATGTGTCTGCCATGGGTCATGAGAAATTTATGGTGTAAAAAGTCGCTCACTCAGGGCCTGCCTCCGTGAATGAGGTAGACCCAAGCCATCGACGGAGTCACATGCTCTTTGAAGTGTCAGAAGACAGAATTACCAGCCAGGTCTTGGCAGCACACCACTGGTTTCAGCTTCAGACAAATCAAAGGCTGTGAGGACACAGACCAAGGTGTCAGCCCTTGCAGCCCCTAAGTTATAGCCTGGGTATTAGTTATTGGTTATTAGAAGCCTCATCTGGAACTTTACCATGTTTTGTTGGGTTTTTGGTTTGGGCGCCACACCCAGCGCTGCTCAGGGCTTACTCTGGGCTCTGTACTCAGGGTTAACTCCTTCATCCCTGGCTCTGTGTTTAGAGGTCCATAAGCAGTGCTGGGGGCCAGTCACAAGGAAGGCTTAACCCTTAACCCTTGTACGATGTCCCCAGCTCTCTCCCTCACCATCTTTATATGTTGCTGAGTAAGTGTTTTCTAAACTGGCTGAAACAAAGTGTTTTAAAAGTGGAAATAAGAACCTAAGAAACCCTACCCACACTTGAAGCCCCCCTGGCACCTGCCATGTTCTTCTCCCAGGGTGTCTGGGGAAGGTTCTGGGCACGATCCAGAGTTGCTTCCTGCTGAGGCAGTGTTGTGTGTGCTGGTGCTTACCCCTTCTTAAATGCACCATTGGCCTGTGCTGTGTGGCCTGCGCTCCCCTTGGCTTCACCTCTGCCTCGTGTTGGGCCCTGATTTCCTAAGGGCCCAGCCTCCACTCTGGGAGATAGTTAAGTACGGGATGACGTGGGATCCTTCCAATTTCCTGCTCTGGGCCTCCTCCCCGAAGCCAAAAGCGGTCAGTATCCACAGGTGCTGGGGGCCTAATCTCTCTAGGGATACCAAGATTTCCCGAGATACCAAGAAATTGGCTTCTCTGCCCAAAACGTGAACTGTCACACTGCTTGAGCAGGTCTCTCAACTGTCTCTCTTCTTTAAAAACAGCGTCACCTAGTGTTGAGAAAAGGAAACCACCTGACTGCCCTCAGCTTGGGAGTCTGGAGCTGCCTTTGTCTAATGTGCTTTTTACTTCTGCTGGCTCAGAAGTTAGTAGCTCTTTCCAGATTCCTGAGACCATCTGGACTTAATCTGGCCCAACCTTTCCTCCCATTTCCCCTAACTCCCCCAGTTGTTTTTACACTGTTGTCTTAGGAACCCACCAGTGACTGAAGGGGGAAAGTAGTGTTTGATTTCCAAGCCATGGCCCAGTATAATCTGATTTTTTTCTCTTATTTATTTATACAAGTATTGATATGTTACATGAGATTTCATTTGAAAATAGCATTTTCTTAGACCAGAGCGATAGTACAGCATGTAAGATGCTTCCCCTGCATGCATCAGGCCTGGGTTTGATCCCTGGCACCAAATATAGTCCCTAGAGCCCTGGCCGGGATTGATTCCTGAGCACAGAACCAGGAGCAACGATGGAGCACCACCAAAATTAAAAAAATAAAGGAAGGGAAGAAGGAAGGAAAAATAAAGCGTTTCTGGGTCCAGTGAGCTCCAGTCTTTGCATATGGAAAACTTGACACCATATTCTGCCCTGGGCACCACTGGCACCACCCTGAGCACAGAGGTGGGAGTGGCCCCTGAGCACTGCTGGATGTGGTCCAGAAATCGACCCTTCCCTTTCAAAAAACCACATTTTCTTTCTGGGTGGGGAATCACTACCTACCATGTAGTTGACTTAATCTAAGGTTCGCTGTTCCAGAATGTTGCTCAGCCCCAGGTCTGCTTTGGCTGCTGTGGGCCCATCCTTCTCTTTGGGTCAGTCTCCTCCCCATCCTTCTCCGTGGTTCAGTGTCCGCTTCCTGCACAGGCAGCCCCAGCGTCCCAGCTCCTCCCCAGCAGCAGCTGCTCACGCTCCTCACCCTCCTCCCCGGTTCACACACCTTAACACTGAATTCTGTGCCAACGCTACCAACGTTTTGAAGTTTTGTGTGAGTGCATGTTGTTGCCACAGGAACATTGTGAGTCCGCTGACTGTAGGAACTTAAATTTTGGGGTCTGTGTCCCGCAGGTTTGAGAAGATGATCAGCGGCATGTACATGGGGGAAATAGTGAGACTCATCCTGGTGAAGATGGCCAAGGAAGAACTGCTTTTTGGTGGGAAGCTCAGCCCAGACCTCCTCGCTACAGGTCGCTTTGAGACCAAAGATGTTTCTGACATTGAAGGGTAAGATTCTGGGTTCTTCCTTTCTGTTCACTGTGTCCACTGAAGGATGGACAGACAGTTGGGCAATGAGGATGGGGCACTGCCCTGGGCCTTTCAAATGTGGGCAGTAAGAGCCACGGTGTGCCTATGTGGGCCATGGCAGGCCTGTGGCTTGGCTGCATTTACCAGAGGAATCTCCACTACTCAGACCAACTACCCCACCCTTCAGATGTATTGTATTCTGCCTCAGTGATAATGGCTGGGGTGGGGAATGCTTGGTTGAATGCAGGAGATTCCAGTGAGCTTTTTTTTTTTTCCTCAAATGAAAATTCCAGTGACTTTTTAAAACATTTTTTTAATTGAAGGTTTATTTAGCATTTAAAATTTTTAATTCTTTAAAATGTTTTGATTATTATTTTTAAGTTTTAATTTTAGGAACTGTGTGTATTACACTACTGATATTAGCAGGGTTTCATGCAAAAGAAATCCCAACACTACCACATTCTCATCATTGTCAGCCACCCTCCACGTGTCCCCATGTGTCATCCCCCTCCCAGCCCTGTCCTGTGCCCCCCATCCCTGCCCCACCCCTCACAGTGATAGACTTCCTACAAAATATCTGTTCTCTGTTGCTTTGGGTATTTTTTTTTTTTTAAGTATGTGATCTGGAAACAGCCCAGTACACATAATGGAATACCGCCCAGTGACCGCTTAGTGGCAGATTTACATCTGTTTCCAATTCCATTCTCTGGAAGCATTGGTTCCAGCAAGGCCCCCTGCTCCATACCCTACTCCCCCCTGCTCCGTGACTGCAGAAGTGGTCCTTAGATGGCCCAGAGATGGGCTTGGGGCACTGCAGAGGGAGAGCTGAGACCTGCATTTTCACAGGACTGCAATGCTGGGAGTGAGCAGGACCTCATTCTGGTTCGACCCGGTGACCTCTTCTTGAGGTTCCATTTGTGCCTTGAAAGAGGTCCTTGTTATTTCAGGGGCCAGCTGGTGGAGAGGTGATTTTGGTGCCAGAAGGTGCAATCAAGCAGTTCAAACGACTGTTTTCAGGGGAAGGAACTGTGCCTGCTTGTTAAACCCTGAAGGGAAAAAATTTCTGTAAAAACGGAGCACAGACTCCTGTGTACCCAGCTTGGTGTGTAAAGACCAGGGCTCATCCTCACATAGGGCATACTTAAATATGGGCTGGGCCCGGAGCGACAATACAGGGATAGGGCATTTGTCTTGCACACAGTAGTCCCAGGGTTGATCCCTGGCATCCCATATGGTCTCCCAAACCCACCAGGAATGATTCCCAAGCACAGAGCCAAGAATAAGTCCTGAGCACCTTTAGGTGTGCCCCAAAACAAAACAAAGAAACACAAGCTTTTTGTTTACAGGACAGAGGGTCACCTGGAGCTCTGTGTGCGCACAGTAGCATGTGTTACATGCACACATATGCATATTTATGTGTGCTCATAAGGTTGGCTCTAGTGGTTTCCCCTCTTTGCTGGAGCCGAGGAGTTTCCTTGTCAGATGCCCCTCTGACTGCCCGCCCTCTCGTCTGCACCCCAGGGAGAAGGATGGCATCCGGAAGGCACGGGAGGTCCTGGTGCGGCTGGGCTTGGACCCGACTCAGGAGGACTGCGTGGCCACTCACCGGATCTGCCAGATCGTGTCCACGCGCTCAGCCAGCCTGTGTGCAGCCACGCTGGCGGCTGTGCTGCGGCGCATCAAGGAGAACAAGGGCGAGGACCGGCTGCGCTCCACCATTGGGGTCGACGGCTCCGTCTACAAGAAGCACCCGCAGTGAGTTAGCGACGGGATCCCTGAGAGGATGGGGAGGGACCCCAAGCCTGCTTCGTCTCTGGGGCCGTGGGGGAGAGGGCTCTGCAGAACACAAGTTCCACACTGGATGTGTGGCTGGCCGGGAGAGTCATCCCTGCGAGGATGCGGGCGATTTCCAGAGTTGCAAATGGTGGGGCCCAGCCCAGCTCCTCTGGCCACTGGGCGATTTGCCAGAGTTTTCACTACTTTCTTTTAGGCGGGCTTGGAGTTGGGCCACACCTGGGGATGCTCAGGGCTTCCTCCTAGCTCTGTGCTCAGGAGTGAGCCTGGCCATGGTAGGGGGCCCCTATGCTGTGCTGGGGATTAAACCGGGTTTGCTGCATATAAGGCAAACAGCATACCTGGTTCTATTTAGTCCTCTGGCCCCGTGTCAGAGCTCTGACAGTGATTCTTCACTTGGGAAAGTCGGGGAATGGGTGTTAAGGGCAAGTATGCAGGCGTGGGGTCCACAGGGAGCTCCTGTGTCCCTGGCACCGTGTCCCTGCTGACCTGTCTTTTACCCCATCTTGGTGATTGCAGTTTTGCTAAGCGACTTCACAAGGCCGTGCGGCGCCTGGTGCCTGACTGTGATGTCCGCTTCCTCCGCTCCGAGGATGGCAGTGGCAAGGGCGCTGCCATGGTGACGGCCGTGGCCCACAGGCTGGCCGACCAACACCGAGCCCGCCAGAAGATCCTGGAGGCTCTGAAGCTGAGCCGCGAGCAGCTGCTGGAGGTCAAGAAGAGGATGAAGGTGGAGATGGAGCGGGGCCTGAGCAAGGAGACACATGCCGTGGCCCCAGTCAAGATGCTGCCCACTTACGTCTGCTCCACCCCAGATGGAACCGGTATGTGGCAGGGTTCACCGCTCACTCTGGTACGCTTTTGTCTTGGTGCTGATGTCCTGGGGGGACCCTCTCCAACATTTGCTCTTTGCTGCATGTTTTTTTCAATTCTATGACTAGGAAATCCTCCGTTAAGGTTAGCCAAGGCATTTCTTTGTTGAAAACTGAAAAGAAGCAATGATCAATATTTTTGTAAATGCATGGTATGTATCTGACATTTACCTAAGCCTTTCTTACATAATAGCTCATTGGATCTTTAAGCACCAATAGATTATAGTTAGTTTTATTTGTTGACAAACTATTAGATTGGGCATCAAACGAGGCACAGAGTAGTTCAGAAATCTATGAAAGTTCACCATAGCTAAAAAGTGTCAGAGCTGGCGTCCAAACCCAGGAATTTAATTTTCAGGGCTAGTATAAACCCTGGGTTAAGAGTTGGCAACAATTGCTGGTGAGTCAAATCTAGCTCACCTCCTGTTTTGATAATTTTATTAAGGACACACCTTTGCCCTTTTGTCTACACACAGTTATGGCTACTTGTCAGCACAAAGGAAACTTAGGCACAGGCCTAAAATGTTTATAGCTCAACTCTTTCTAGAAAAAGAATACTCACTCTTGATCTAGGTCTTCATCCTCAGAATGGGTGGTCTTTCCCCAAATCAGACAAAAGGTACTGCGGTTCCAGAGGTAAAAACTAGGATTTGGTCTCTTTCCAGTCTGAGTTGTGTAACCTAGGTAGGACCATCAGCTGAGTCTCTTTGCTTCCATCTATTCTATATGTATAGAACGTATCTATTCCATATACCCAGGGCAAGGATATTGGGACCTCAGATCCTCACACACTTGCTTCCATCCTCAAGAGAAGTTGAAAGGGAGTGAAAAGCAAAGATGAGATAGGAGAAGCACTTGAACATCCAAACAGCAGATGAATGAGAATGTCCTGTACCCACTAACAAGTGCCTAAAACAAGAGAGGCTGCTGCTTCTCATCCGGGCAACCTAATGTAGAGAATGGCCTTGATTTAGCATGGATGGCGAGACTGGCTATTTTGTGGTGTGCTGGAGCAGAACCACAAATCACAGGGATTTAGAGGGCCCTGCCATCTGCATTTGTTTGAAAAACTACTAAAGAGCAAGCAACTCTCTGGCATCTTCTTTTCTTTCCTGAAAGGTGGGGCCCACACTCCATCACCTCTGCGGTTCTCAATGAATGCCTGAGAGGGCTCCCACTATAGACAGTGCATTCAACCCTGTCTCTCTAGTGTGATGAAGGGGTGATGCCTCTGCTCACCCTCTTTCTGGGTTTACTTTCCAGAGAAAGGTGACTTCCTGGCCTTGGACCTTGGGGGAACCAATTTCCGGGTTCTGCTGGTGCGTGTACGTAACGGGAAGCGACGGGGAGTGGAGATGCACAACAAGATCTACTCCATCCCGCAGGAGGTCATGCATGGCACCGGGGACGAGGTGAGGCAGGGCAGCATTTCTTACAGGGAACTCTAGGGACCCTCTTGTTTCAGAGGGGCTGGGAGGGCTTGGGGAACCATTTGATGCTGGGGATAGAACCTAGGGCTCCCTCATGGAGAAGTGTGAGAGTGCACCGTCTTATGACCAGGAAGGTCTTTCTCTGCTAGTTCATTGTCCTGGGCAGGGCCACGGGGACCAGGGAGGATGCTGGCTTGGCGTTTATTCATGTCTGAACCTTGTACTTGGATTTCTTCATGGAAGCTTGTGCACAGACCCTGCAGAGGGCAGCCATGTACCAGGGCCACCCCAGCTCACTTCAGCTTCTTCTTGCAGCTCTTTGACCACATCGTCCAGTGCATCGCAGACTTCCTGGAGTACATGGGCATGAAAGGCGTGTCCCTGCCCCTGGGCTTCACCTTCTCCTTCCCCTGCCAGCAGAACAGGCTGGATGAGGTAAAAACAGTGTCCTGCTGGAGCTCTCTCTCTCCTAAGGTGTTCTCTTGACTCTTTGGCCAGAATCTTGAGCAGCGAGAAAGCTGAGTTAAGAGGAAGAAAAGTGGAGTGTGCATGACCAGTCACAGGAGGCCCCATTGATCAGCCTGTGTCAAGGCTGGTGGGGGTTAAGCAGGTTAGCTCAGCATTCACAATATTTGGGAGGATGAGGATGATGACAACAGTCAAAATATGAGCAACTAACATGTCAAAGCTTTGACATGTATCCTAAGCTTCCTGTGTACTCATTTAATTCTTACAGCAACCATATAAGGGAGATGTTGACCTAGTTATTTTGTGGCAGGGAAATAAAGTCCACAAGAGAAGTAAAAAGCGTCATGCCCCAAGCTTGGATGTGGCCTAGCCAGAGTCTGAATTCTGGTGTCCTGACATCTGAGCTCACACACGTGGCTATGTTCATGTATGTGCCCTTGTTAGTGGGTACAGGACATTCTCTTTCATCTCCTGCTGTTTGAATGCTCAGCTACTTATCTGATCTCATCTTTGCTTTTCATTCCTTTTCAGTTAGCTTTTAGGAGTGAAGCAAGAGTGTGAGGACCTGGGTGTCCCAGATATTCTCGCCATGGGTATATGGAACAGTGTAGGAGAATTGAGAAGGCAGTGTTTGGCCTTCGCCTGGGTCCATTATGGGTAAATTAGAGATCACTGTATTATTTAGTTAATTATATTATTTAAGCAGGTGCTTCTGTAATGTCTTGATCATAAGTCTGAAACAGCGTTTCCCAAAGTGGACATTGAATAACCCAGGGGGGTGCCGAGTGATTCTTTTTTTTTTCTCCCTGAAAAGGAGCTGGAAAGCCAAATATACCTGGGGCCCCATGGTTTAGAAGCATACAGCAAGTGAACAGGAAGCTGTGGACAGAGTTGCAAGGACACAAAAGTTCCAGTTCCTGTTTCAGGTGTTTACAAACCAACAAGACTGGGTCAGCAAGCCTAGAATGAGAGCTGGTGTTTGGAATGTAGCACCTAAACTCCAGGACCTGCAGTGCGATGCTAATCTGAGCACATTCCTGGAGGGCCTGAGGAATACTCAGAGGCTTAGTTAGGAGAGTCAGTGAATGGGGAAGAAAGGCAGGTCTGGATCCCCGAGAGCGTGGTGGGGGCAGCCTAGTATAGTCAAGGTAAAGTGAGCTTGGCCAGAGTCCTTGGAACAGCAACCCTCTCACTGCTCAGTTGAGTTTTGTAAATGCTTCCCTCTCCCCCCACTCTGAGAGTTAAATGTACCATGTATACTGGTAACCGAGGTCTTGAGAAGCTCTGCAATAAAAATCTGGCCACATCTGGTATGACTGAACACCGATTAACGTTTGTCCAGCTTTAGCTTTTAGCTTTTCCAATTCCTTCGTTTCAGTGCATTTATTATAACAAAGACATTAGAAACAGTGCTCATTGCTCAATGGTTCATAGATTGTTTTGGCCAGTGACAGACCCATATCAAGGTCTAGATTCTTGTAAAAACTTATAATGATGTTGGAAAATACTGGTGGTATGACCAACACTTTTTTTTTCCAAATACAATTTTTATGACATATAAAATGCCAAAATATGATAGAAACATAAAAATAAAAATATAGCACTCCAGTGTATTTACTTCCAGACTTTTCTAGTGAAATATTTTAGAGACTATTGTATTTTTTTATGCATGCAGGCACATGCACACAATTTACCAACTTGTAAAATTCCAGGTCATTGTATTAGATTTTGTTCTATGTATTGTAAGTTTCTGTAAGTGTTGAGTTTTTTCCTGTCTCAACTCAACTCAACATGTGATACGATACATAAGAAATGAGAAACAGAATGGTGGGTTGAGGCGAAGGCAGGCCCATGCACAGGCCGGGCGCAGGAAAGACGCGGAGGCATCGTTCAGTGGACCAGGAGCAGCCTCCCTGGGAACCAGGACAAGGGGGCAAAAGATGGGCAGTGGGCAGATTTCCCGGCGTCATCCAATTTCTCCCTTTATGGCGCAGTCGTAGGATACTGTAAGGACCTGGGTTCAGTCTAGAATTATGAAAAGTAGGAGGAAATAAAGCAGAAGCTGGTTTCTTTGTGACCTGGGTTTTGTCTGGTGAGGTCACTCTATCTGTGCTCAGGCCACCCAAACCAGTGAGTGACCTGGGAAAAGCGCACCCCCCCCCTTGGGATTTCTGCTTGCTTTATTATTAATAACAGTCCAAAACAATGTTATTTAAAATACTTGTAAACTGTTAAGTGGCTATCACAATTTTTAAAAATATATCTATACGTATCTATATATTTTGATGAATCACCGTGAGATAGTTACAGATTTACAAACTTTCGTGATTACATTTCATTTATACAATGATTCCTCCACCAGCCAAGCACAACGTTTTATCTGTGAGATGAAGCTGATTTGTAGATAGGAAGTTAAGTGGAGCTAAACACTCAGTTTGGTGATAGATGTATACTCCAGGCCCCCGCTGGTACTGGAATTGGCTTTTCTAGTTCTTAACTGAACCTGTGACACATCCAGGTTGATTTGTAAAACCAAACTCCTGCCGATGAAATGGCAAGCTGATGGGCTTGAACGACCAAGCAAGGAGAAACCAGGCAGCGGGTGGAGAGTGGGCACACAGCCCAGCCTGTTTAGGGCTCTGGCCTCTTAGGAAGTGGGCCTGGGCATCCTTGTTTCCTGTGATGGTTTGTGGCAGCAAAGAAGAAAGCAGGAGCACTGTAAGAAATAGTTAAAAGACTCTGTGTATCTGCCCTGAAAGGGTCAGTGGGGTTTCTTGGGAGCTTCTCCTAGGTTGCTGAGGAGGCCTCGATACTACCCAGGCATGGCCATGGTCCCTGTTCACCCCATTCTGTAATTTGAAAATGGAGACACATTGACCTTTTGATGCAAGTATAGGGTGGGAGCCAAGAACATGAAGTGGGAAAGAGAAGTCTAATACATGATGTTAGAACAGCTGGACAGAGCTAACTGCTTTTCCTCAGGAAGGGAATAAGTGCTTGGAACTTGGTTCTTTGGTCTGTGGAATTGGTGCTTATGGGCCCATACATTGGAGGTGATAGCACTGGGGGTGAATCCTGTTCCTCTCTTCCAAGTGACAGGTTGGAGGCAAGTTACTCAAAAATTGTGTCTCCTACAAAGGTGCCAAGTAGTCCCCTGTAAATCCCCAGGAATTTCCAGAGGAGCCTCAGGTGAAAGTCATGCAAGTGGGAGCCTTGACACAAGCAGTAGGACATGGGAGAGACACCGGGAGGAAACAAGGTTGTAAGGGAGCCAGGATGAGGAAAGGGTTGAGGAACGCTGCTCTCGAGTCTCAGATACCTGCAAAATGGGGCACAGTGATAATATATAGGGTGATGTGAGGCTTAAATGTGACACATGGGATATGCTTAGTCCGATACGTGGCATACGATGATGCTCGAATCAAGTTCAGGATTATATGTGGGTGAGATGAGCGAGTCTAAAAGAGGATCTGTACAACCTGTGAGGTGAAAGTTAGAGCCATGGCAGAGCCTCCTGGGAAGGCCTCATGAGCCTTTCTCTGATAGCTCATTTCTGCTCCCACCCGATTTTTTTTTTCAGAGCATCCTTCTCAAGTGGACAAAAGGTTTCAAGGCATCTGGCTGTGAGGGCGAGGATGTGGTCACTCTGCTGAAGGAAGCCATTCACCGGCGAGAGGTGGGAGACATGTGACCTGGGGCCGGAAGTGACGTGCTTGAAAGTGCTGAATGCAGTTGCATGGTTGTGGGGCAAGGGTCAGGGTTGTTTAACCGACCCCCACAGCAGTTCTTGTCTACTGTGTGAAGCTGTGCTTGATGGGCACTGAGTAGTGAAATGACCCCCCAAATAGACCTGTGAGCCAATGTCTGATACAGTTTTCTGTGCGAGAAGAAAGCTGAGTGTGGACAGAGTCACTGGTCTGGGAAAAGGACAGACTTTTATTTTGTTTACAGACTTACACTTTGCTTTGCAGTAAGTTTAGACCCTGAGGACCCCGATATACTGTGGATTCTGGATCTAATGACCTTAGTAGGAAGTTTGCTTTGGATTTGGACTCAAATCACACCACATTTCCCCGGGCACAAGTTACCCCACGTCAGCTTACTATCTGGTGTTGTTCAGTTTGCTGTCAGCCTTCCCTGTTATTTGCTTTGCACACATAAGCACATCCCTTCTCTAGAGAGAATTCTACTTCAGCTTAAACCCCTTCAATTGGAAGAAGAGCTGTATACTCCCTCTGGTTGCACAGACAATGTATGTAGTCAGTAAAATGGCCATGGACCACAGCCTTCTGGCTATCTTACAAGTCCAAAAGAATTTGTCCCCAAAGCCCTGTGACAGGAACTTGACTCACCTCCATAGGACACTCTGTTAAGTAGCATCACAGGGGAAGGTCTCTGAGGAGGTGATATGTGAATGAAGGAGAGTGTGAGCCAACCCAAGTTTAATACACAAAATGCCCCTGGCAAGTTGTCTAGAGAGAGAAGATGATACTTAGTTTGTGGGAATCTGTTTTTGTCCTCTTAGGAGTTTGACCTGGATGTGGTTGCTGTGGTGAATGATACAGTTGGGACTATGATGACTTGTGGCTACGAGGACCCTCACTGTGAAGTCGGCCTCATTGTGGGTAAGGAAAGAGCAGTCCGCCCTACACAGAGCCCTGTGGCCTGAAGTAGATGTAAGGGAGGAGCTGACTGTGACACCACATCTCTGTAATTGGCAGGCACCGGCAGTAATGCCTGCTACATGGAGGAGATGCAGAACGTGGAGCTGGTGGATGGGGAAGAGGGGCGGATGTGTGTCAACATGGAGTGGGGGGCCTTTGGGGACAATGGCTGCCTGGACGACTTCCGCACAAAATTTGACATGGCTGTGGATGAGCTTTCCCTGAACCCTGGAAAACAGAGGTAAGAATCCATGTGATGTGTGTGTGTGTGTGTGTGTGTGTGTGTGTCTGTGTGTGTCTGTGTCTGTGTCTGTGTCCTGCTCTAAATACCCCAGCACTGAATGATGACAGGCTATCCACTCCTTGACAACTCTGATCCCAGGACATTGGATTCTGAGAGAGGGATGAGGATTTCCTGGGAAGAGTCTCTTGTCAGTTGTATCTGGAAAATCTGGATTGTCTTTTCCCCCTTTACTGGACTGTGATGCTTTGAAAATGCAGCTGGGAAAACAAATCATAAATTATGTTGCAAGGACTATTACCTATAATTGGTCAGTGAGGTTTCCCAATGAGAAGAAGAATTAAAACTTAGAATCTGATCCTTCTGGATGTTTGGTGGGATTTGACTGTCTATCCCTGCTGGAGGAGTCATAAATAAATCATAGGAGGAGGTAAGTGAGCCCAGAAGCTTGGGCATATTCCAGGGAAATCCATGGACCATGGCATGGTGATCAGTTTCACATAAGCTGTGAGTCAGTGTACACCAATACCAAGGACTCTGCCCCCAAGACACTTAAGTGGCATTTCCTTTGTCCACCAAGGAGTATGTCTGTGCCCTCTACTTCTGCACAGTGACTAGTCTGTGTTCTGTATCTTAGCATTTTTCCCTACCTTCTTCCTTAACCTCCATCAATGTCGCTTGCATTGCAGGTTCGAGAAAATGATCAGTGGCATGTACTTGGGTGAGATTGTCCGTAACATCCTCATCGATTTCACCAAGCAGGGTCTACTATTCCGTGGCCGAATTTCAGAACGGCTCAAGACAAGGGGAATCTTTGAAACCAAATTCCTGTCTCAGATTGAGAGGTAAGAGATTAGGACCCAGGGTAAAGTTGGACTGTCTCCTCCTTTCTTCTCTAGTCCAGGGATTTCCACAGCTCAAGTAAGATCAGAGCATGGCTTAGATAAGGTTAGTTGAGGAGCTAAGTTACTGAACAACTGGAGGTTCTACTTAGTGCCAAATTTACAATGAACATTTTCGTGAAAAAAAAATCAATTAAGTTGGCATGAGCCGATGCTGACTTTTACTTATTTTTATTTATCTTGTGCTTTGGGGGAGCAAAGGGAGGGTCATCATTCTTGGATGGTGCTCCATGAGTATTCCTGGCTCTGTGCTCAGAATTCACCCCTGGTGGTACTCCAGGGGTCATGCATAGTGCTGGGGTCAGCACTGGCATTCAAACCAGGGTCAACCGCATTTACAAAGCAAAGAGTCTTACTTCCTGTATGTCCTTTCTGATCCCATGCTGAATCTTAAATCCAAATACCAAAGGAGCAAGTATACCTGCCCAGAGGGTCAAATTGAAATGTACAGAGGAAGGTTACTTACTAAAGAACACTCATACTCACTAGAGGTTTCCTAAGACTAATACAACTGAGTGAAAGCTGGCTCGTCCTGTAATGCAGAAATATGCTCGGGGTAGCTCCATTAAAGCACAGCCTCCCTCCAGATGCCAGGCAGCAAAGTCTGTGCCAAATAAGAAGAGCAACTTTCAGAGGCCTTTAGAAATGAATGCTGCACTGAGTCTGTCAGTCACGCAGCCAACAGGGACCAGAAGACTGAAATGCATGGCCCTGAGCTGCCAATGCCCATGAGCTAAAGAATCTGCACTGTCTCTTCTGCCAGTGTGGAAGGAGATTCCAGATGTTTCAAGTCATTCTCATTAGATAAGAGGTTTTACTATCTCCTTCCTACAATTTTTTTAAATTTAATTTTTATTTTTATAAAGTTGTTCACAATAGTTCATTACAGATAATATTCAAACACCAATCCCACCATCATGCACCTTCCCACTACCATAAGAGGAAAGTGTGTGAAGATTGTTGTATTTCATCCTGGAGCCATTTAAGCCCTTATATAAGAGATAACAAACATATATGTTAAGCCCAAACAAATATGTGCTATTTTTGGTACGTCAGTGTGCTAGTGTATAAGAGGTCACACGCTCCAGGACATTCTGTGTTGCTTTCTTCTGGGAGCTTTATTTCATAGTCTCTGGATCTCAGTTGCTGATGAAATTACATGGGACCGGGGGCAGTTTGTGGGTGTGAATGCCAAGCTACTGGAAAACTGGGGAGCTGGGGGGAGGAGGCCCAGTCCTATTCCAAGCAAGCTTGGAGATCTCAGTCATGGTCTCGTCTTCCTCCAATTTTATGTAGGTTTATTTCCTACATGGTGCACACACAGATTTCAGGCCAACCAGAGTAAAGGGAACAGAAATAAAATAGAGGTCTACTGTTGGTGAGGCTTGTCCCACTGACCCCTGACTAGCAATGACAGGGGGCATGAATGACCTCCCCCCACCCCCCAACATCTGGCATCCATCACGGGTAGCCCAGTGGCACCAGTGGGGAAGAAACCAAAGCAAACTAAACCAAACCACCAACTACACCACACCAGTCAGGAGAGAAGGAATTTTTTAATGGAAATGGCCTTATCTGAGCATTACCACTGACTCCCTTAAGATTTTCAAAGCAGGGTATGGAGACAGTGAAGCTGTTACTGTGAGTATCAGGGCCAGAGTAGCCCTGGGTCCTGTGGGTGCTGGTTCCTGCATCCCCTCACTCTAGGAAGCTGGCGGGGTCTGGTGGGATGAGCCTTGTTTGAGCTGTTCAAAAGCAGGAGCCAGCCATCCTGATGCCCAGCCCCCAGCATCTCTCCTGATACAGGGCTTGGGTGCCCGGTGGCTAACCTCTCGCTGTCCCCCTCTCCCTGCAGTGACTGCCTGGCCCTGCTGCAGGTCCGTGCCATCCTGCACCACCTGGGGCTGGAGAGCACCTGTGATGACAGCATCATTGTCAAGGAGGTGTGCACCGTGGTGGCCCGGCGGGCGGCCCAGCTCTGCGGGGCGGGCATGGCGGCCGTGGTGGACAAAATCCGAGAAAACCGTGGGCTAGACTCTCTCAAAGTTACAGTGGGCGTGGACGGGACTCTCTACAAGCTACATCCTCAGTGAGTGTCACCACCAGCCTCCTGGCCCAGCTTTCTCCCAATGTTCTTTTTTCCCCTGCTTTCCTGTCTCCCCCATGCCCTCTTTCTCGTGAGCACCAGGCATTTCAAAAGCAACATATATGGTGTACCTATTAGGATTGAAAGATTAAGAAGCAGAAATGGGCCTGTGTTTGTTGGGCCTGTGTTTGTTCCATTGCCTGCTCTGGAAGACCCCTGTGTGTCTCAGCTGTTCCTTTAATCTCCCTGTCAGGGGTAAGAGCTATGGAGATTTGATCCTGCGTCCCCTTTTCCCATAAATCTGTACTTAGATTGTTCCTTTTACTTAAGGGGTTTTGCTTTTTTTGTTTGTTTGTTTGTTTTGTTTTTGTTTTGGAGGGAACGGCACCCAGCAGTGCCCAGGGATCACTCCTGACTCTGCTCAGAGATCACTCCTAGCAGTGCTTGGGAGACCATGTGCTGTGCTAGGGATTGGACTTGGGTTGCCTGCGTACAAGGCAGTGCCTTACCTGCACGTGCTATCTCTTCAGCCCCCTTTGACTTAATTTTGAACCTACCAGAAGGTTCAAAATTTATGTGTGTATGTGTGTGTGTGTGTGTGTGTGTGTGTGTGTGTGTGTGTGTTACATCATGAATTCTATTATAAGTTCTTGTGGCTTCTTACCACATGGCCTTTGTGACTTTGCAGTGCATTCACACTGCAAAAATATTTTGTAGTGCTTCATTCATTTTCAGGGTGGCACAACATACCTTTGACTGTGGTCATGGCTTGCCTAATGAGAGGGAGCCCTTCTGAAAATAGCATTATTAGGTGATTTCAGGGCTGTGCAAACAGCATAGAGCATGATACCATCTCAGATGGCGTAGACCATTAACTGCGTCGGTCCTGCAGTATAGCCCTTGGGACCACTCTCATGAGTTTGGTTCCATTGTTGACCGAAAGGTTAACCGGTGCATGACTGTATGCTGCAGTGTTCTCCAGCTGTGGATATTTGGGTTATTTCTGGATCTTGACTATTACAAATAGTGCTCTGATCACTCTAGCAAATGCTGGAATACTTAAGAGAGACTTTTTCTATGGTTTAGGGTGGGGATAGGCAAACCACAACTGTACTTGTAAATAAAGTTTCAATGGAATGCACCCCTGCCCCTTCATTTATGTCGTGTCTGTGACCAGAGTTCCACCTTATAGTGGCAGAGTGGTCAGAACAGATCATCTGGGCCACAAAACCAAAAGCATCTGGAGTTAGGCCTTTTATGGAAAAAGTGCCACACCCCTCCTCATCCAGTTGGAAGTACTTAAATTTTTTTCTTTTTGCTCTATTTTTTTTTTTTCATTTGGTTTTGAGTCATACTGACTGTGCCCAGAGATTACTTTTGGCTCTGTGCTCACCCCTGGCAGTACATGGGAAGAGGTACTGTGAATGAATGGTTATTTGTGCTACCATGATTGTGATAGACTGGGCTGCAGTCTACACAGTGGGTGAAAAGGCAGAGCTTGAGAGGTTCTGAGTCCCTTTTCTTGACTAATGTCATTATGAAAATAGGAGACTGTCCCAGATGAGGGCCAGTAAGGAAGCCAAAAATCTAGTCATTCGTCACTGGGCCTGCAGTTTGGAATACATGTCTCTGGCCTTAAAACTGGGAGGCTGGGGAGGAGGGAGAGCCGACACAGCCTCATTGGGCTCTGTGCTCCCCATCAAATGTGCTGCCGTCACTGGGGTATCTCAGCAGCAGCCCCAAGTCTGCTTCTTTGTCTTTTAATGACAATTTTTTTAATTAGATGTGACTTGATGTGGTTCATTCTCCCGGAATACAAATTATCGCCATGATCCATGGGGCCTTCCCTCCGGAGCTTTTGAATTGGTTATATGTACATCTAAAAACTGCCACTTGGCCTATTGAGCTTTTTCTCAGATAAGGATAATTTCTCTTTCTGAATTCCCCTTCTCTCCTGTTTCTGACTTCACTGCCTTTCCGAAATCTCAGACATTTGCCCCAGCGTAGCATCTTAGCTTTCCACTCCCCTCTTGTGACCCAGAACCCACAGGGTGCGTTGCCAGCCTTCCAAGGCCTGTTTGCTGACACACACCACGTACTATGGTGTAGTGCCATCCTGGCATCTTCTTCCTCGTCTTAACTCTCTCTGAGTTCTCGTATCCCTTATCTCATCTCTGAGGATTCTAGTCAATAACAAGTCTTTTTTTTTTCTTCCTCCCAACTTTTCCAGCTTTGCAAAAGTCATGCATGAAACAGTAAAGGACCTGGCTCCGAAATGTGACGTGTCCTTCCTGGAGTCGGAGGACGGCAGTGGGAAAGGAGCTGCCCTCATCACGGCCGTGGCCTGCCGGATCCGGGAGGCTGGACAGCGGTAGAAACACTGAACTGGAAGCAGCGTCCTCTGGTTCCCCATCCCTGGGTTTCAACAATAAGATGCCGTCCCCTGTGTCAGAGACAGACTCCCTTGTGGCTTTTCCTTGGCAGAGAGGAATCCTGTACAACTCGCTTGTCTCTACCTCCCATCTGTGTAGGGTCTGATCTAAGAATCTAGTCAAAGTCACCAGGACCCATGGCTCTTAGATAATGTAGTAAAACAGACAGTCCCCCTGAGCAGTCTTCCTCACCAAATTCCTGCATGATCCTATAGAGCCATACAGGATGGGGTCTGTCAGGTAAAGCACGGTTGCTTACATTTCTAGGTGGAGACATTCCCCAGCATGGAGGTTGATACTATTTCTCTTCTCAGAGATCTGGGAGGTCTCTACTGACTGAGCCTGATTCTCCCACATGCAGAACTGGGGGGCCAGAGGGGTGAAGAAGGGAAGTCCTTGGATTGCCTTGTGGCCACCCCTCTTCATCCTCATGCACCAGCGCTGGCCTGGATCTGGCAGTGGTGGGAATCAAAGTGTCTTGAATTGGAGCAAAACCAAAGCCAAGAGTGGATGCGTCCTCTGTGGGAGGTCCACGAATGGTTCATTAGCCATGGACCTGTGCGGATGGGAAGGGCTTTGGGACTGTTTTAAAATTATTTCTCCTGCCGGAGTGGAAACACTGTTGTTTTTCTTTTAATTTATGTTAGAAGTTTCCTTATGTTGCTCTTTCCTCTTGACCCTGTATGTAAAGCTCCCATTGTATGTAATGTATTTATGTGTCAATTTGTTATGTATATAGATAATGTAGGGGCTCCTCAGACCCAGCCTCAATTAGTCACGTGTGTAGGTTCAAGGATGAAAAGCAAAGATACTGACTGGTGACTAGAAATACCTCATCTGCCTTTGGGAAGAGAAGGCAAGCCTCTTCGGGGTTGGGGAACAGGAAAGCAGCACCTGTCCAGCTCCTCCTGACCCGGTAGGCTCAGACTTGGAAGGTGAGAGACGGGTCGGGGCGCGGTGGGGTGTTGTGGAAAAGGAAGCTGGACCTCAGTTAGGCAGCCCAGCTTCTTCCTCTACCCACCTCTCTGTCTGGAGACTTCCCGTGGGCAGTGTTAACCAAAGGAATCAGAAATCATTTCAGATAGACTCAGTGCTTTGAAATCTTCATTCTTCGGGCAGTCACTATGTTTAAGCTCTCTGACAAGGTAAAAGAAGCCACCAGAAACATTAAATATAATATATATACATATATATGTATATATACATATATATAACTGTTGGTAGCAAATTAAAATAAAACAATCAAAACCTCAGGAAGACTTTTGGCAGATAAGTGCCTTCCTAGCAAATTTAACCTTGAGTTTGTTTTGTAAATGTTGTACAAGAACTGTTGTCCAAGGGTTTCCTGAGGGGTTTTATATGCAGCATTTATTTCAAATTGCAGGGGGTTGGGGTGGGTAAAAGAAGAAGGGCAGAAAAGCTTCACTCTATTTTTTAAGAGTGTGATCAATCTTGAACCAGAAAACCCCACTTCTGCCCTAAAATAGACATACCTACACACATTAAACCAGAAAACTATGTGAAATAGCTTTTTTTTTTGAAAAAATGAAAACAAAACACTACTGAATAGGATAAAATGATCAAAACAGAAAGAGGAAAAGACATGTCTTGGTAGTACCCAGTGTTTTGCACATTTATAAAACTTATCCTGAGGACAGTATCTAGATGTGTTTATTACTAAAGGATATGCAAGAAATAGAGATGAGTATTACCTTTTAGACTTGAAAATTATGCACAATCTATAAAATTTGACATTTTCAAATGGTAGCACTATAGCAGTGTGTGTGGCTAGTAAATCTGTCTTTTTGGTTTCTAGAGTGGAATGTTTCAAAGTACTTTTTGAATGTTCTTATTTCCACATTTAGGTGACAGTTTCTTGCTGATTCTACTCCTCCTGATGTAAATAAAATGAACTGTAGTCTTTCCTAGGATGAGTGCAGTAACAGATCATCTCAAATCCCTGAGCCCTCACTCTAGTGAAGATGTCATGTAAAATAAAGAATTGGTTGAATTAACTATGTGACTTTAACTATTAATAAATTTTAACATTTTTCAAAATGTTCTGATTCATGCGTATTTCTCCTTTTAATTGTATTCTAGTTTAGGTAACACAGTTACAGGAGTGTTAGCACTTAGGATTTTGATGTAGTTACTGCACATTGCCCGCCCTCAAATGCCCAACACTTATCCTTTTTTATGTTTTTATTGTTTGACTTTTGGCTTGCAGAGCTCAACACCATGCCCACCACCAGAGTTCCAGGACGCCCCCACCATTATCCCACAGTCCCTCCCTGACCATCCCTTTGGTTCCCTCAGGTCGCTGTTCTGTTAACTATCTCAGGATTTGTTTCCATTGAGGATCGTCTAATCCCTTGCTTTGTCTCTTTATACTCTGCACATAAGTAAGATCATATGAGGATATGTCCTATTCTTTCTAGTCGTATTTTCAAGAGTGCGGTCATCTTTGTGGTCATATTGGTGCTTCCTTGCTAGTTTAAATAATTGATAACTGTCTGGATTTTGACTGCTTGGTCTTTGACAAGCAAGTGGGCAATATTTGACCTGGCCCAGGATACTTATCTTCCACAAAATTCCTTCCCAGTCAAACTGGAATATGGCATTTACTAAGTCATTTCCAAGTGCCTAGAATTTTTCCCTAATTTAATTTAAACACTGGGTTACTAAGTTGTTCATAATACAGCTTGTATTGTTTTGGCCATTCAATGTTCCAACACCAATCCTACCTCCGGTGTGACCTTCCCTCAACATTGTTCCCAGTTTCCCAGCCGTTCCCCAAGTCTGCCCTCTTAGCAGGCACAAAATAATTTATTTTGTGTTGCTCGTTACAACAAAATGATAAGTGAAATTAACCAAAAAAATACTTCAGCTTAAGAAAATTTGTGAAAATTGTTATATCCCACAGTGGTGTTATTAAAGTCACCTGAGAATTTACTGAGCTGTTTGTTGCTAGTTGAGTCTTCTGTGTCACTGGTTTCACTTATTGCACTAGTGGGCTTCTGTGCTACTTTCCCATCTAATTTTCTGTGCTCCTCCTGGGCTGACAGTATTGTGAGATTTTTTTTAAATTAATTTTTATTAAAAACACTAGGATTTACAAAGTTGTTCATTATACAGTTGTTTCAAGCATGTAGTGTCCCAGCACCACCAGTGTGACCTTCCCTAGTATTGTGGAATTTGGAGGTGTTCACAGCCACATATGCGGCCTCAAGCTCCAGGATATGTAGAACTGGAATGATACTTTGCCCACCTCCGTCCCTTCTTGAGGAACTCCCAGAGTTTTAAGCCTGAAGACTGATGTATCCATAAGTTTCATCAGCTTGGCCAAGTGCTAGATTCTAAAGACCACTAAAGAACCATGTCCAGCCTAGCAGTCTATTGTTTAATTAGTTTGATGGTTGGTAGCATATTCTTCAAGGACTCTAGTTGGTGCCTGTGAGTGTGAATGGTTTCTATTCAGGGTATAAATCCCTCGATAAACATCTTTATCTTCTCCCTCCCAACCATCCCCTTCTTCCATAATGAGCAACACACAAATCTGGGAAACAGATTCCTCACAAATCTGTAGGCCTACCCAATTGACTGAGTAACTGAGAAGTAAGCCAATCATGGCTAAAAGGTACTTTAGGTGGATAAACACAAAGCCCAAGTCTCAGTAGTCTACACTAGATGCAGGTAAATAACTAAAATGAGACCCTCTTTTTCTGATTTCAGGTTGGTGAAATGGTAGAAATGTTCTCATATGCATTGGTGGACCTTAGTATCACTTTTTAGGGAAAGAGACAATATGCATCAGAAGTATGTTTCGTATAATTTTCTAGAAATATGTGCTTTGAAAAATATATAGTTGTGGGAAAAAGAGATGGAGCTCAAAGGGCGAATATGGATACTGTGCATGTGGGAAGCCTAGATTTGATACCCAGCACCTCATGTCTCCTGAGCACTGCTGAGAGTGACCTGAGCACAGAATTGGGAAGTTGCCCCTGAACATCTCTGAGTATCATTTAAAACTTAAAAACAAGTAGCCACAATTAATCTCATCATTAGAAACCCAAAGTTTAGCTCTAAGAGTCTTGACTACAGTAAAACCTATCAAGCAAAAATGGATTTACTTACTCATACCAGGGTTCATTCAAGAAGATAATCAATTCTAGGTAAGCAGATTTTAACATGGAGACTAGGTTATGTAGGTGATGAAACAACTGAGAGGGCAAATTAGGAGCAATCCAAAGATTAACACCATCCAAAAACAAACCACAAAAGTCCTTCAATACCATTGCTGGGCCAGAATTTAGAAGCTAGGGAGGAAGGGAGCAGGAGTTAGAACCATGGACAAAAGAGAGGGCTTGGCGGTTAGAGGAATCTCCAGCTTCTGCCCAGTCTATGTAACCTTTTCTTCACTTGTTGTTTTGCTTTCTTTAGTCTGGGCCCCAGATGCAGAAGGCTACATTACTCACACACTTCGTGGTTCAGAACAGTATCCAGAAAGTAAGGAAGTTCCAGTTTTCAGGGAAAATTCCTGCTTTCTGATTTTATTTCCTTCTATTTTTTCTCCCCATTTGCTACTCACTATCGGAAACACTGTCTTTGAGTGTATGTGTACTTGTAAAGTATTTATTGTCTTGGTACATTGGCTAACAATCTTTTTGGAATTTGTTTTGGCTCAGTAAGCACCATGATTTTTTTTTTGTCTTTGGGGTCACACCTGCTAGTGCACAGGCTTTTCTCTAGGCTCTGTACTCAGCTCTCACTTCTGGCAGTTCTCTGGGGAGTATGTGGGGCTAGAGATCCAACCAGTGTCGGATGCATGCAAAGCAAGCTAAGCACCAGATATTGAAAGATGCTCCCATTGAGGCTGTTATAAACATATCTAATTCATTACTCTCATTTACTGCTTACTATTCCATTGTGTGCATGTACTATGTATTCCCATCCACAATCTCAGTGTTGGGCATGTGGATCAACTCAGCTGTCTATGCAAATGTCATTGCAACAAACATCAGTGCACACATCCCCTTAATCAACTGCTATCATCATTGGGGATATGGGCCTGGATCAGGATGACTAGATCTCAGGATATAAATTTGCTTATTTTGAAAATGCACTGCGAGGTTACCCTCCTGAAAGGCTTCTCCCAGCCCCTAACCCTCCACAGTTAAATTCCAGTAACACTAAGCATTATCTTAACTTATTGTGCTGAGGGTAACATGAGATCTATGTAACCGCCATGATTTTGAGTGGTTTTTTTTATATGTTTATGTTTCTTAACCTTTTACATTTCCTTCAATTAGCTGCTGGTGCGTTTTCATTGTTGATTTTTCAACCAGGATTCTTTTTCTGTGCTAATTTGCTGGAGTTTCTTCTTTAATCCAAATATTGGTCCCTCATTATTTTTTTGATATTGTATGTACCTTCTCCCAGTCTGTGTGTGTCATTTTAATGAACACCTTATTTATTAACTCACCTAAATAAATATAGCTATGCTGAAAGGCATAGATTAATAAATCCTTGAGCTAATCTTTGGTATGACTTAAGAATGAATGACGTATTAGCCATTTTATAATGAATTCCCTTTTAACACTCAAGAGATGTTACTTGCACCTGGAGACATAGTACAAGAGTTAAGACCCTTGTACATGGCCGACGGGGGTGGATCCTGGGACTGCATGGTCTTACCAGTCCTGTTTGGAGTGACCTCCAGCATAGAACCTCTAGTAACCTCTGAGTATCAATGGATGTGGATCCCAAGCTCCCCTTCCCCCTTTCCTCTAAAAAAAAGTTGTCACTTGTTTATGACTTAATCAGACTTCATATTATGTTATCATAGTCTACCTTGGGAGACCATCTGGAGTGACATTTGCTTCTTTTTTTAATGTATCGTGGTGAGATACAGCTACAGATTTACAAACTCTCATGATTACATTTCAGTCATACAATGATCGAATACTCATCCCTCCACCAGTGCCCATTCTCTACCATCAATGTTCCCAGCATCCCTCCTGCCACCCCCCCAACCCCCCATCCCTGCCCCAGCCTCTGTGGCAGACACATTCCCTTTTACTCTCTCTCTCCTTTTGGGTGTTATGATTTGTAATATGGGTACTAAGTGGCCATCATGTTCGGTCCCTAGTCTACTTTCAGCACACATCTCCCATCCTTAGCAAGCCGTCCAAGCATCATTTACTTGGTGGTCCCTTTTCTATCTCAGCTGCCTTTCCCCCCAGTATGTGAGGCTGGCTTCCAAGCCATGGGGCGATCCTCCTGGCCCTTATTTCTGTTAATTGTGTTAGTCTCCCATTACGTTACTTTATATTCCACAAATGAGTACAGTCATTCTATATCTGTCCCTCTCTCTGTGACTCATTTCACTTAGCATGATACTCTCCATGTCAATCCAATTACATGCAAATTTCATGACTTCATCTTTTCTAACAGCTGCATAGTATTCCATTGTGCAGATGTACCAGTCATCTCTTCTCAGGCACTCAGGTTTTTTCCAGATTCTGGCTATTGTAAAT